CCCCTCCCCGGCTCAGGGTGCCCGCCTCTACCTCCTCGTGGCTCTGGACCCATAAGGACCTCATCTCTTCAGCTCAGCAACTTTTCCCAGTTTGGCAGCATCAGCGGTGAGTCCCGCCCTCCCCCGTGCTGGTTCCATGTGGCCGCCCACCTGCCGGTGTCTCTGTCCGTAAAACGCAGCCGCGTCAGGGATTGCCTTTTCTGGACCCTTCCAGGAAGGCTCCTTCAGACCTGGGGGATAGCAGGGATGCCTCTACCCCACCCATGGTCCCTCCATCCCTCCTTAGCGTGGGTTAAACCGCTGGGACGCCAGCCTTTAGCCCCGCTATAGGCCACGGGTATCGTGCATGGGGAATTCAAATTCCAAATCTGACCTGAGCACACCTATAGGGTTCTGGCTCACCAATCTGGCTAAATGCTGGGCCTGCCTTGGACCTGCGTCCTTTTTCTGTAACGTAGCATGGCCCCAGTATGAAACTGGGACCCTGACTTTACCGTCACACCGATCTCAGTAATTTCTGCCAGCGAACTGGGAAATTTGCCCAAGTCTCTCTCTCTCAGTCTCTCTCTCAGCCTCTCTCCATCTCTCTGCATTCCCATCCCTCCCCCAAAGTTCCTTCCGCCATCTCTCCTTGCTCTGCCCTTCCTCCTCCCTCCGGGCTGACCCTGCACCACCGAGCCTGAGGTGTGTGTGGTGCAAGTGGGGGTGGGTTCATGTGCTGTGTGGGATGCGACCACGGCACCGCCATTGTCTCTGTGTCCCTTCACCCCTCCACCAGAGAACTCCCCCGAATTCCCCTAGCAAAAGCTGCCCACTCTCCCGAGGAGTAAGCCCCTGTCCGTCCACACTTTCCCCTCCTCCTCCCTGCCAGACCTTCCTCCAGCCACACCTCCCCTCTTCTGCCCACCCCATGGCGACCGGGAACTCAAACCACCTTTTACAACCCCATGCCCCTACATGCTGCCGCTGCTGTGAGCGCTGTGCCCCCGCTGCTGTGAGCACTGTGCCCCATTCCGCCGCCATAACGCCATAGCCGCTGTGGGGGCCGGCAACTCAAGTCCCCTGCCGCCCCGCCCCTGCCCTGCTTTCCCAGTTGGTACACATGCGTATCTGCATTCCTAGGCTCTACCTTCCTTCTGTCCTTCCTCCTCCCTTCTGCCCCTGGGAGGTTGTGGCTTTTAAACTCAATTGCCAATACGTCTCCCAAGCCCACCCAGGCCACCTCTCCCCTTCCCTTACAGCCTGCCTTAGTAACCCATATCCCATGCAGTGCCCTCTGTAAGGTCTAACCGCCAGCCTTCCTCTGTGCGCTCCACTGAAACTCTGCCCCCATGACTGCCAGCACTTTAATTCACAGGTGGCTGGCCAGTTCCCTTTGCAAGAGGTTGCAGCTGTGCTCTCTTCAGACCCTCTTAACCAGAAGCTCCCTTTTCCCCTAGAGCCCAAATCCTAAGAATGTCAGCTCCAAAACAGCCTCTTCCATCCCTGCGCCCATTCTACCCCTGCTATAGTCCCGTCCAGGAACTGAGGGCATAGTCTGAATCTATGCCCCCCACTCTCTAACCTGACCTTTAAGGTCCTTATTAGTCCTCAAACCCAGGTCCAAGATCAAGTGAAAAATGGCCTTGAAGGTTCTTAATGCCCTGGAGGAGCAGGCACAGTCAGAATGGGGGGCCTGCCTTCCACAGAAGGTGGACCTGCAGACATGCCTTAGTTGTACCCCCTCCTCCCCTCCCTCCCACCTCTGGACTCCTTCCTTCTCACAACATTGGAAACTAGTCTTTCAGCTTCTAAATGTCAGTTCCAGCCGGGAGAGGCAAGCGCTCACCAAGGTCTTCCTCAAAGGTAAATTTACAGAGCAATTAAATTGCACCCTTCCAGGCCAGGATCCACCCGCTGGCCATGGTGGAACTGGCTGAAGACTGAAGAAGCCCAGCCTCGATAACTCCAATCACCCTCGCTGAGCCTCGGGTCACAATGAAAGTGGTAGGTCACCTTCCCGGTTAACACAGGGGCTGCCTTTTCTGTCCTGACCTCCTTTTTAGGGCCCCTTTATCCTTCCAAGATCTCGGACATGGGTATCGATGGCAAATCGACCTGCCCTCTGGCCACCAAACCTCTTCCTCGCCTCCTTCATGATAGCTATATAACCCACTCGTTCTTAGTCATGCCTTCATGCCCCATGTCCTTTTTCGGACGAGACATCCTCACCATCCTAGTGACCACTCTGTAGCTCACTCTGAGCCCTTCAGCTTCCCTGCTCCTCCCACTCCTGGCCCCCTCCCTTTACAGGGACATCGATCCTCCACTGCCATGTGTCCCGTTATGGGGCCCAGTTGTCCCAGACCACAGTCGTCTAGCTCAGTCTTCACCTAGCTGTCTCCGCTGTGAACGCCTTATCTCTTCCACCTTATCTCCTTATCTCCTCAGGACTGTCCCCTCCTCTGAACTGAAAACTGCTCTGACCTCGACCCATCCCCCTACACCCTTCCCAAAGGAAAAATGCAGCAACTATAAAATCCAAGTGGCTAGAGGCCTGGGAACAGGCTGCACTACCTGCTCCCTCCCTCCCCGCCTTTTCTCCAGCCTCCAGGTCACTGGCTTCCACTGCTCCTTCCATTCTCCCTTGGATAACAGCGCATTCTAACATTCCTCCCACTTTCACTGCAATACCTACCTCTCTCAGGCTCACCGAGTGCCTCCCACCATCCCCGAAGAAGATTCGGCGACACCATCCAGGACCAGATGACCCATCATTCCTCACAGGCTCTTACCTGGCAAGGGACCCTCCAGTTTTGCTCAGGTTTTTCATATTTTCAGGTGAAATGGACATGGAATGATGAGGGAGTCATCAATTCTACTGTCTGGATGGGAAATCCTCTAGTGTCACTCTCTATTTACGAACCCTGGACCTACTCCTATGCCCACCCTCATCAACACTACTCTCGAACATCAATCCCTCCTCTTCTACATCCTGCTGGATTTCTGTCACTGGCTCAAACCCGCATCATATCCACTCAATTCCAACCTATTGGACCATCTAACTAAACTCTCTAGAAATTCGCAGCTCCTGGCCAGACTTCCTGCCCATGGACCTGACCAAACTCTGGCTACCCCAAGGAGCCCCACTTTCTTGAGCCCTTTTGACTCTTCTTGCTCAACCACCATCTTCTTACTGATCCCCCTCCCCTGGGTACATATATCTCATATCTGTCTTTAACCAGGCAATTGCTCCGAGAACACGAGAACAGGTTTCTGCCCAAGCCAGAGCCAACCGACCAGGACTCCCAAGACCAGCCCTTCACCCTGGTGACTCGGTCCTCCTTAAGAACCTACAATCACACGTCTTGGAGCCTAGGTGGACAGGACTTCACACTGTAATCCTCACAGCCCCCACTGCAGCCAAGCTGCTTGGCGACCCCAGCTTGTCGACCTGTCGTGGCACCGCCTCCAGACTCAACAAGCCTTGGAGCCTAGGTGGACAGGACTTCACACTGTAATCCTCACAGCCCCCACTGCGGCCAAGCTGCTTGGCGACCCCAGCTTGACGACCTGTCCTGGCACCACCTCTCCAGACTCAAGAGGACCCCGGAGCAGCATGACTTCTATAAATGTGAGGTGTTGGGCCCCACTAAGTTCTACCTTAGTCGCCCTCCCCTCCTTCTTCTCCTCCTGGCCCTGAGCAACCTACACCAACCCCCACCTGCTTATGTGTAGAGGTTCAAGGTCCATGAAACCCACTGCCAGTACAGCAAACAAGTCACCTGGCAGGTAGGATCTCAGGACTGCCCTCTGTTCCGATGCCAGACAAAGATCCAGATGACTGTCGACATCCAGTCAGTGTCCAATACTGGTCGACCCTATGTCTGTTTTGCTTATGACCAGCGGGACCCGGACGGGTGTAATCAAGATGTCAATACCTATGGGGTTGCCACGGGAGAGATTGTCATACCATACCGCAGCCAGTCTCACCAAGGCCAGCCCGGGTACCTTCTTTTGGTGCAACGGCACCTTAAGCAACTGCATGAACTCCTCTGACCCCGGGCCTTGCTTCGTGGTCACAGTAGTTCCCCAACTAACCTTATATGGAGAGTCAGAGCTCACCTGGCTGCTCCCTCTATCCTGCCCCTGGATCTGCCAGGCTGCCTTCCTCCCTGTCATA